AACCGACTTTCTCTATCCTGGCGTTACTGAACGCTGGTCACTAGTCAAGTTTAAATTTAGGCATGAGTACAATGGTAGGAGGGAAACGTTTTTCACTAAGTGAGAGGGAGGCGCCGGGGAGGCGTTTTCTAGATGTGAGAGTGCAGCCTTTTTGACAGTTTCCAAGACTGTCTATATTTTTTTTAGACACGAGCACTTGAGGTTACTTCCGTTTGCATTCTTTGTATTTCTTGAGCGGCGCAACTTTTCACATAGTAGCACCACGCGTCAAAACACTTGTCAAGGCGGCTGCTACTGCTACCTGGAACTAACTGAACAGCCGCCTGACCGGTAGGGCCAACGCCAACAAACCATCACTATGACCACGATTGTGTTCGGCCATAAATCTTCATTCATATGGGAACAGTCTGAGGACTGCGTTCGGTTTATTGAAGTGCACTTGTCCACGTGTTTCAGTGTTACAGACGTGGGCGTCTTTTGAATTGAGGGGCGATTCTTAACTCCTTATCATTTCAACAAGGGAGAAAGGAAAGAGAGGCAGAGATTTAAGTTAAATGGAAGAGCAGAGCGGAAAAAATACGAGTCTTAATTGGTCGTACCTGTCTCATGGGACAGGGGATAATTTGGACTTAAACCCTCTCTACTATAGACTAACATGGTGTATCGAGGATTGAATGCATCAATAGAGTAGAAGGAATCTGACCACTTACTCGACGAATCGAATGCTATCCGGTTTGTTACAAGATGTACGTACACGTGAGGGGAAGAGGGGAAGGGCAAGGGGCGGTGACAGAGGGAGATATGAGGTCCCTTAGGCCCTCCACGACGCTCCGAGGCTACGAGATGTTGACTATACGAGAGGACAAGGGCCAGGCTGGAATCTTCCCGCCGAGGTCATCCCGTCCGTTCGGTGGCGGTTTGGTTTTAGTGCCTTCAAATGGGAAAGGGAGAGAGAGAGGTGGGGGAGGGGGGTCGAACGCGGTAAGAAGATCGCAGCATGACGACATACTATCAAAGCGGTGGTAAGAGGTGCATAATGATAAGGTGCACTGAACATCCAAGTGCATAACTGTTGCTCACCTGCAGGTGTGCGACAGCACTTTCACACACTTGCATGTGAGTGAATAACCATTCATAC